CATGACCGGCCTGGCACAGTGCCTGTCACGCTATAGACACTGCTGGAATGGTCACACTTCTCTCCATGGATGCATGTCAGGCAGCACAGAGCAGGGGTTGCCCCTGAAGGCCTCTTGGTTCTCCCCAAGGCACCGGGCACCAGATGGGACCCATGCTGGCTGGACAGGGATACTGAGGGATGTCCTGGAGACGGTAGTTAGGGAGCCTACAGCCTGGAATAGAGAGTGTCACCCAGCCTGAAGGGCCCATGCCTCCCCCAGCTTTGACACTCATCACGTATCCGGGGCTCTGCCATGCCAGTCGATTTGCTGAAGAGGAGCAGGTGGCCAAGCCAGAGCTGGGACCCTGGGCACCTGCCATGAAGATAGAGGCCTGGGGATGTTTAATTCTCACACCTTCCCTCACCCCCAGAGCTGCTTTTTGACAGATGGAAGGGAGAGAAGGACTTGCCCAGGACCGTGAGAGGGACTGGCTGTGCCCAGGTTTGGGCTTGGGGATGCTGGGCTCTCAAGACACACAGGCTGGGTCTGCCCTCCCCTGGGTGAGGGTGTTGGTCACTCAGCAAAGCTGTGCGGGAGGAGCTGTGTGCGATGTGAGCCCCACTGCCCAGACTGCCCCTGGGACTAAGAGTATTTCCTGGGCATTGCCCACCCAGCCCCTGCCCCTCAGTACTGTACTTTCAAAACCTTCTGATCTGTCTCCAGAGCTTCCATACCCTTGGAGGCTGGACAGGATAATACCCGCCTGACAGATGTAGAGACGGAGGCCCTGAGCAGGAGAGGGACTTGGTGGTTGTAGCAGGGTGCAGCAGTCATACACTCACAACCCTGAGCTCCAGAGTGGGATGGGAGCCCCCCGAAGCCGCTTATCTTCCTCTTCCAGCCCCATCCTGGCCCTGCAGGGAACAGCTCTGGCCACAGCTGAAGCTGCTTTTCAAAATCCAGGCCCTTTTCCTGAGAGATGGGCTCCAGACGCCCTCTGTGTGCCCTGAGCATGTCAAAGAGCATCCCCGAGCCTCAGTTTCCTCATCTGTGAAGTCGGCACAGGCCTCTCAGGAAGAGGCTGCATGGGTAAGCAGGCAGTGGCGTCAGCTTCTCAGGCACCGCAGAGGAGGAAGCACTCAGTGAGCAGTGCCGCAGTCTGAGTGTTTCCGCTCCTGCAGCTACTGGGGTTCAGAGGTGGCCGAAATGTGGCTTCCTGGCAGAGGAGCTCTGGGGAGGGCCTCACAGGACAGAGCGTTCCTGGCAGAGATGGTCCTGAGCTGGGGCTCTGAAGTGGGGGCAGAGAATATTCTGGAACCTGAGCACCAAGGTAGCTGAAGTATGGGCCTTGCCGTCTTTCCTCTGTGAGGTACGGGTGGCCGGGTGGGAGGTGTCTGACCAGCAGCAAATTCTTGTAGTCTTAAGTCAGGGACCTTCAGAGGGAGGGAGCCTCAGTGAGCAAGCTATGTGGAGAGGAAACTGAGGCACTGAGGTGGGGCCCCAGGTGACTAGCAAACAGGGCCAGGCCCCGCCCAGGTCTCAGTGTGGAAACTGAATGAAAGAGGCCTTTTCTGTGGGCCGTCTCTTCTCCCCAGGCAGAGGCACTTCCGTTCCGTCCACTCCCGTGTGAGGACCAGGTCCCGTGGCTTGGAGACTCTCTGGCGCCCTGGCCACGTGGAGCTGCCCGGGCTCCCCTACTCCCCCCTGGGCAGTGGCTTCAGTGCTCTGCAACCCCAAGGAAGCATCCCCAAGTGGGGAGTGCCTGCTGTGGGTTGGGGTCCCTGGTGCATAGCCTGAGGCCGAGGCCTCTCTGAGCAGTGGGCTCCTGTTCCAGCCTCAGCAGCCCCATCTCAACAACAAGAGCAAAAAGGGAAGTCAGAGAAGGAGCCCGGGAGCTGGGTGTGAATCCACAGGTCACCACCCCAGCTGCAGTGCCCCGGCCCTAACCCTGCCTCCCTGGGGTTCCTGGGGTGGGAGGTGTCTGCAGACCCCATGGGCCAGCACCCAGACTTGTGAGGGCAGCACCATGTTCACAGCTTGGGGCAGGGAAGGGAGCGCATCTTGAGGGAAGCCCCAGGCTGGCTGTGAACCCCGCCCTCCTTCCGCTGGCCACAAGCATGTCTGTAAATGCTCTACTACGAGGTGTGACTCAGAAACAGGGGACTTTATCCACCAGTGACAGTGACAAATCCCGAGGTTTTGTACCAGCTCTGGTGAGCCCCACTAGCTCATTTCAAGTTTGTGGTTGACAAAGACACCCAGATCCTTCGCACTCAAGCTGCGGTCAGTGCAATCTGATGTCTCTGTGGCCATCAGCCAGGCCTGACTATTGAGGCTGCTGTGAATTCATTGGCCCCCGGCCTGTCCACGCTTCCCTGCCATTTCCAGTGTCTTCAGCAGTGACAAGTTCATTTCCCCTGAGGCCTGTTGGGGCTGAAGATTGAGCCTCGACCAGGGAGCTCTGGCACAGTGGCCACCCCAGGACACACCCTGCCCACCTGCCCCATTGCCATCTGTGCCGCTTGCCTCCCTGTGGTCATCACATAGCTCCAGCTCCAGCAGTGTCCCCAGCCCATGCTTTCCCACTTGCTGCCGAGAGTCCAGTATCGAGACCTGGCCAGAGGCTCAGTGTTCTCAGTCCCACCTACTTGTCTCCTCTGTCAGGCTGTAGTCAGGGGTTATGCAGAGAACAATTAGAATCAGGTCATGGAGTTTATAATATTTTTATAATGGTCACCAGGAGTTAACACAAGAAAATGCAGGAAATCTATCCTCAACACCAGAGACATAGAATATTTAGTCAAGAGCCTAAATCCCACAGCAATGTCCCATGAGTGCAGATGAAGACCCAGAGCTCATGACAACGCCTCCCACGAGTCCAGCTGGAGGTCCAGAACCCACAAGGACTTATGCCAGTCTCTTTTACGGATCCATGCTGGGAAGACCCAAGGGTCAGCGACCCAGAAAGTCCATGCCGGCGGGGTGAAGGAGCTGTGCTGGTGGGATGAGGATTCTACACTGGAACTGAGAAGTCACACTCACAACAAAGACCAGGGATGTCCTGCAAAGCACCACAGCCATCCTCAGCGACATGGAGGCCCTGAGCTCCTCCAATGACAAGCACAGTCGGGTACATGCCAGGAAGCAGCGTGACGAGTTCATCCTGGAGACCAGGCAGCACACGTCTTCCCCTCCGGAGCCAGGAAGCAGTGCTCGCTGTGAGGACCAGAGAACCCACAGTGCCTCAACACAACAAGGCAATAATGCCTTAACACCTTCCTTCTCCTTCTCCACCTGTTTATGCTGGCAACTTTCCTCAGATAGAGCATCTTCACTCAGTGCCATGCTGATGTAATCCAGCCGGCATTAAGTTGACCACCAATTCTCAATCCATAACAGTCAGTTTTTAAAAATCACACATCCCTCCAAACCAGAGTCCTCAAGCAAATTTCTCCCTTTTGCCTCCTCCCACACCTTTCTAAAGGGGCTCCTGTCCAAGAAGTTCTACTACCAGCCTGGCTGCGTGACCTCAGCCAAGCTCCAGGCTTTTCTAGTTCGCAGTTCTCTTGTGTATCAGAGAGGGCCACTGTAACGGTGGCAGCACAGGCAGGAGTGTGCCGCCCTCCAGCCCTCCACAGGTACAGTGTGTTCCAGCATCTGCCCTGGGGAAACCCTGGGCTTGCGGGGTGGGAAAAGGGCTGCTCCCTGGGCCAAAAGAGGCCATTTGGGAAGACACTAATGTTCCTGGAGGAGAGGAACATAGAGGGAGCTGCACGCCCAGGCACCAGGGCAGCCGCGGCTCGGGTGGTGCTTGCCGTCTTCCCGTGGGCTGGTTACTCTCCACTGTGGGGGTAAAGAAACAGCCCCTGTGAGGGACATGACTTTCAGAGTGACAAGGACGCACCCAGGCTGAGAGCATCCTGGAAGCTCCCAGGAGTCCTCTGTTTCCCGGGCTAGTCACAGGGGCGACTTCTGGGGAGCCTGGGGATGTCAGAGAGCCTGGATAGTATGCATTGGTCTTTGCAAATTTCATTCCTAAGTGCCACTGACGGAATGCAGTGTGATAAACTGAGAACTGAAAAGCGGTGCACGCTGCACCACTGGCTTCTGTCCCTGCTTGCCTCTGAGAGCTGCTTAACCCACTGTTCCTCAGTTTCCCCTTCTGCTGAACAGTGTGCTATGGAGGTTTGGGTCACAGGCCTTGATTTGAATCTTGATCTCTTACCTTTTCTTTTCTTCTTCTTCTTCATCATGGTACTGAGCATTGAACCCAGGGTCTTCACACTGAACTGTGTCCCTAGCCATTTTTGGTTTGGTGTGTGTGTATATATTTGTTTGTTTTGAGACAGGGTCTCACAGTGTATTTTAGGCTGGCCTTGAACTCGCTTTGTAGCCCAAGCTGGCCTTGAACTTGTGGCAATCCTCTTGCCTCAGCTGGCATTACAGGTATGCAATACCTCACCCAGACTCCATCCCTTCTTGTATTTTTTATTGTGAGACAGGGTCTTACTCAGTTGCCAAGGTTGCTCTTAAACATGCAATCCTCCTGCATTGGCCCCCCCAACAGTGCTTAGAATTTAGGGGTGTACCACTGGGTTCATATCGTGACTTTACATGTTACTGGCTGAGTGACCTGGTCCCGCCTATGGTATAAGAATGATTGTTCCCACCTGTGTCCTTGGGGTGAAACTGTGGCACATGGCTACCACTCTGTGTTCTCAGGAGGTCTCCTGAGAACCTCAGGGGTAGCTGCTAGTGGTGACCCAGGGTTCTCCCTATGGAGGCCCAAGGTTGGACCTCGAGAAGAATTTTCCAAGGGGCTGGGGATTTAGCTCAGTGGCATAAGCACCTGCCTTGCAAGCAGGCAGTTGTGAGTTCAATCCCTGGTACCGGAAAAAAAGAAAAAAAAAAAAACCATTAAAAAAAAAAAAAGAATTTTCCAGCAGGAAGTGGCACTTCTGCATCCCCTGAAGCAAGCTCTCAGAAGCAGTGGCTCATAGGCTCCTTGTGCTCCACAGGGCACAGGCAGAAGATAGAAGACCAGACCAAGGTGTTCCCTGACCGCTTCGGGGACCTGGACCGACTGCGCATGCGGATGACGCCAAGCACGCCCAGCCCCCGGGGCTCGATCAGCGCTACAAGCCACTTCAGCAGCCAGGCCCAGACCCCTATCCAAGGTAAGGAACGGTGGGGACTGCAGGGGGGCAGGGTGGTCCGTGTGTCCCCAGAGCTCCTTCCCAACATCACTCACTGCCTTTGTTTTATGGAAAAGGCAGCTGACGCCTTTCCCACCTCAGATGTCTAGACCTTCTTCATTCATTCACTCTGTAAACATATACATTGGACCCCAGTAATAAGCCAGAGCAGACAGAGCCCTTGCCCCTGAGCTTGACCCCTCCTGGCGGAGGTGGGGTGAGTCCTGCAGCACCTGTATGGAAACCAGGCCCGATGGTCCACGAGGCAGAAGCAGCGCGTCCCCACTTTGTACACAGTGCCCCACCCCAGCCTCCACGAACTCGTCAGGAAGTGGAGTGAGAGTTGGGGTCCCTGCCCAGGACGGAGTTCATGTCCAGTGACATTACTGCACTCAGATAAACTGGAGACACTTAAAGAGTTGCCAGCGCTGGGGAACCGTCAGGGAGGCACGGAGGCAGGAAGGCACCAGGCCTGGGTTTGTGTCCCATGGCCTGGATGAAGGCAGTGGGCATGGCCAAGGCTGACCTCGGGCAAGAGACACCTGGCTCCTGACCAGGTCAGGCATGCCAGTGGTTACTGAGCAAAGCTCAGGGGCTGTGCAGGGGCTGTGCGCAGCTGGCACTCGGGCCAGGCTGCTGTGGGGCTCTCAGCTGCAGCCCAGGCCACAGCCTGAGGCCCGATCTCAGTTCACCAGGACCTGGCCAGAGCCCATTTGGCAGATGAGTTACATCCACCCTTGGGTCACAGAGCCTGTCAGTGCCGGGGTCTAGAGTCCCCCTCCTGTTCTGTACTTCTGCAGGCCTGAGAAGGAGACCTAGGTCAGGAAAAGCCCAGGTGGAGTTGCGCATGGCTCCTGCTTGTCCCCAGCCTCCTCACCCCTCTACCTGCTGTGCTGAGCTGGGCCAACTGGGACCTTGCTCAGGGAGGGCTGGTCTGGGCCCTTGCCATGTGCCAGGCTTGACACAGCCCCTACAATGCAGAGAAGGCCCCTCCGTAGTAACCCAGGCTCAGGAAGTAGGGACCCAAGGGAAAGAGAGGCCCAGCCCAGCCTCTGAATCCATGGCCAGCAAGTTTGAGACACACAGCTCCTGAACCCTGGGGAGCTCTGGGGAGTCTGGCCTAGAGAGGTGCTGGGAGTAGCACCTCTGGGTGGCAAGTAGTTCCTGCTCCTGTCCCCACAGACCAGCATCAGTCAAGTTAAAGAAGCCCACCATGCTGGGTCTTTCTCTGCCTTTAGCCACGCCAGACTAACAGTGTTGGAGCCAGGCCAGGGAAGCCCAAGTCCAGCAGGGCCATGCAAAGCTTCCTGTCCACCAGCTGTCATAGAAGGAAAGCCACATCCTCCCCTTCATGGTTGGGTAGGGATAGTTCGGTCAGTGCCCATGGGAGCTAGAGCCCAAGCCTCCACCTGGGCAGTGAGGAGAGGAGGTCCAGTCCCCGGGGATGGAGCTGACCCAGTCCTCCTGCTTGGGCATCCTGAGATAAGCTCTCCACCCCTGTTAGCCACCCTGCAGCCCTGGCCCCTGGAAGTCCCACCTCTATCTAGGTCTGTTCCCTTTGAGATGAGAGAAAGATCCCTTAACACCCAGGCCAGGGAGAAGCATGAACTTTGCAGCCGGGTACTGCTGGTCAGGAGCTGTGGCTCTGCCTTGCATTGACTGTGTGACTGTAGGCAAATCACTTAACCTGTCTGAGCCTCAGTCTTCTCGTCTGTCAGGAAGTCCCTCTGCAAAGGGCAGCCCCAGGTGTGAGGGGCTTGGCTCCCTGGCCTTCTCTCCTGATGAGCCCAGGCTCTGCGTTCAGGGCCCATCCTGAGGTTGCCCTCAGGATGCCCCACGACCACTTCCCTTTGATCCCCACCCCCAGCTTTGGTCACTGGCAAGCAGTGCCAGGACCCCAGCCCCTGTATATCCCAGGCTACAGCCCCTGGCTGCAGTCGCCCACAATGGGGGCTTCTCACTGCTCAAAGGGCCCATTCAGCCACCACAGCAGCTGCTGGGCAATTTGGAGAAGAAAATAAACATTTCCTTCCACTGTTGGGATTGGCTGCTGGGCAGGGGCCCGGCCAGCTCAGGTTTCCTGGGGTGAGGTGTGGGGGGCCTTGAGGAAGCTACTGGGGGCCTGAGGGAGAGCCCAGGAGGGGACAAGGCAGGGCCAGGCATCTCTGACAGCTGGCCACACACTAGGCCCAGGGCCTCCTGTTCCCAGGGCACAGCCCCACTGTCCCTCCCACTCCCTGCTTAGGTTCCTGGCAGGTGACAGCGCTGCCTGCGCTCTGCCCAGCATTCAGCCTCTGCCTCCTCCTTGCCTGGCTCAGGTACCCGCTACCCTGTGTCCTTGGGTGTGGGTGCCCTGCCATGCAGCTCCAAGGCTGGTGGAGCAGCTGGGACCTCCTAGGGAGGGTGCTAGAGGGCACTCTCTCCCCACGTAGCTAGCAGCACACCTGTGGTCCCCCAGGCCAGCGCCCTGCCAAGGAGCAGGCTCCAGCTTACCCATCAGGCCCAGAGCTCTGGGAAGTAACACAGCTCACCTGGGGTCACCTCCACCTCTGGGAAAGAGGAGGATCAAGAGACCCAGGCCTCCATCCCCCAGACGTAGGTGGCTCCAACCCTGCATGGCCAGGGCAGAGCTTGCTCTCCTGGGACTTTTCCAAGCCCCTCTTCTTTGGTGGCCGAGACAGGGGGGTTGGGCCAGTCTCCTCCTGAGCCCTCATCTACCTGGCCAAAGTCCAAGGGAGGCCCAGAGTAAGGGCCTTGCCTCTCTAGGTCCCAAGTGGACCCATCCTGGGGACCCAGAGCAGAAAGCATCACAGCTATAGCAACAGGCAAAGCCTTGAGAGCCTACCCTGTGCCAACTCCCTGCTGAGCTCTTCAAGTGTGTCAGTCAACTCAGTCCTTACAGACTGCTACAGTCCTACAAGACTGACGCACAGAGCGCTTGAGTGACCTGTCTAGGGACACATGGCATCCATAGTAAGTGTCAAAACCAGGATAGCTGCCCAGCTCCAGAGACCACGTAGTTATACAGCTACTGAATATATGCTGGGGCTCAGGACCAGAACCCTGGGGGTTTGTGCCATGTGGCCCTTCTCGCCTCACTCTCTCTGGGTCTCCATGTTCCCATCTTCTAATCTAAAAGAGTTAAATTCAGTCCCAAAGTCCATTTAAATGGCAAGATTTGGGGGACTGTGATTACAGAAATTGATGGTAGAGGCTGGAGCACCTAGGTCTTGGAACCCACCAAGGAACCAGACTCCTGGAGAAGCCCTGGCTGGGCACTCTGGGACCCCCAATACCTCGGCTGGTCTTTCATGCTGCTGCTGGGGTGGGTGAGGGTAGACTCTGCTTAGTGCAGGGCCAGCTGACTGCAGCCTGCAGGACAGCCGCAGTGACATAGGTCGGGATCAAGGGAGACAGGCAGGTGATGTGGCCCTAGCACCTACATCAAGTGCCAGCCAGGATTCTACCTGAGCTGTAGCTGTAGCTGGGCAGGAGAGGCGTGGCCATGGCACACACGAAACCCAGAAGAGTAGAAAGACCTCATGATGAGTTCCGGTCCTTTCTGTGCAGTATCAGGAGAATCAGCCTCTCTCTGCCTCAGTTTCCTGATCTGCAGAGGTAGAGTCCAGCCCCCAGGCCCACAGGGCTACTGCCACCTTTGCACCGTCCTGGTCTTCTCTTAGTAACCCTATCCTCAGCCTAGGCTCTGCTGACCCCGTGCTCCCGCAGAGGAGGGGTCTCCATCAGGGTGTGGTCTCCCAGGAACCTGCTTGCTGAGTGGGGCTGTACTGGGTGTCTTGGCATCAGGGCCCGAAGAGCAGGGCACCAGGAAGCTCCAGTGTCATGGTCGGGGTGTGAGACAGAACCCCAGGGTCACGCTTCTGGCCCTGGGGTCATCTGCTGCTACAACTGACCCTCCTCCTTGCTGTCCCGCAGGCACCTCGGACCTGAACCCCTTCTCCGATCCCCGCCAGTTTGACCGTTCCTTCACGCTCACGGAGAGCCGCTTCCCTGACCCCAGGATGCATTACCCGGGCGCCATGTCGGCTGCCTTCCCCTACAGCGCCACGCCCTCGGGCACCAGCATCGGCAGCCTCAGCGTGACAGGCATGCCGGCCACCAGCCGCTTCCACCACACCTACCTCCCGCCGCCCTACCCCGGGGCCACGCAGAGCCAGAACGGGCCCTTCCAGGCCAACCCAGCGCCCTACCACCTCTACTACGGCGCCTCCTCGGGCTCCTACCAGTTCTCCATGGTGGCCGGCGGGGGCAGTGGCGGTGGTGAGCGCTCACCCACCCGCATGCTGACCTCCTGCCCCAGCAGCACCGTCCCCGTGGCCACCGGCAACCTCATGAACCCCAGTCTGGGCCAGGGTGACGGCGTGGAGGCTGACGGCAGTCACAGCAACTCACCCACAGCCTTGGGCACCCCGGGCCGCGTGGACGAGGCCGTGTGGCGGCCCTACTGACCCCGCTTGCCCACCTGAGGCTGGTTGACGCCCCGAGGAGGCAACTCAGTGCTCCCACAAGGACTGGCCCACTGCAAGGCTCCAGGCAGCAGTGGGACTTCTGCTCCCGTGCAGCCAGGGCCCCCGGAGCCCCAGAACTGCAGTGGCTCAGAGAGGACCCATCCAGCCACATCTTTGTACAGATGGGGACCCTGTTCCCAGCCCGTATGCTGGTCATCTCATCCCACACTCCCATGGGAAACTCCTGTCACCTCCCCTGAACCACCTTCCTGTCTCCAGCTAGACCCAGGGTCATCTTCATCCCAAGAAGGGGTCTCACCCTGGGGGTCAGCCCCAGCCCCAAGGAAGAGGTCCCCAGACCACACCTTCCTCAGCTGCCCTGCCCTGTGGGCAGCTCAGTCTGCTTTGTACCCATTGAGTCAGATCTGAAAGCACCCCTTGAGAGGGGTCCCCTCACTGAGAGATGGGGCAGCACACCGCTGGCCGGGGCCTGAGCATGCACCTGAGCAGGCCCCCAGCTCTGCTCCCCACCCTTGCTAGTGGCTCAGAAGCCCCTGACCCATCTCAACTGCCTGGGGCACCAGGCCCCAGAGCCAGCTGGCTGTGGTGGCAGTGCCCTGGCACAGGAAAGGGCCTTTCAGACCACCTTCCACACACGTGTCCAGCTCGTGGTGACCCCTCTGCTCTCAGGGAGGAGTCTCATTGTTCCCATTTGCTGAGAGAACCTGGAAATCCCTCGGGTCCCAGCAGAAAGCACTGAGGTGTGGCCTGATGAGTCAGGTCTGTGCCCTGTCACTTAGGTCCAGTGGGGCTCTGTCCCACCTGCTGGCATTACCCAGCCAACTCTTCCAGTCCCTACCGCATAACTCTAGCCTGTCTGCTCTCCTAAACCAAACAGTATTGAACCAAAACCAGTTTTTAAAAGTGATTTTAGAGAAATCAGTTTCAGTTACACATTTTTGAACCTGAGGCCTCCAGCAGGTAGTGCTCTGGGCTTGTGAACACACAGATCTCACACACACACACACACACACACACACACACACACACACACACACACACTCCTGCCAATGTGCAGTTGTCAGGAAACCACCTCCTCCGGGAGAGGGGGGAACAGATATGGAACCCCATGTCTGTGCTCTGAGACATTTGTCCCAGAGACCGAGTGGGCACTGCTGGGCTGGGTGGGATGTGGGAGGAGGGTGCAGGCTGTGTCATGGCCCCAGCCTTGGCTCAGGACCCCGGTTCAGAGGCCAGATGTTTCCCCTGCACCTTGCAGATGGGAACGCAAGGGTCTTTGAGCTGAGCTCTTGAGTGGAAAAGGTTGGACACCATGTGATTTCATAGCTTTCATCCACATCCTCTGTGGATGTGGAAATGCCCCCACTAGTGCTCCATCGTGGTGGTCTGTGTCATAGCCAATGTCTCACCAGCCTACCCCAGCTGTGGAACAGCTAGATGCATTCCCCTGCGGGCCAGGAAGTTCCAGGGATCCTGCTCAGACCTCTCCTGTTGCAGCTTCTCTTGTCCTCACTGGAAAACAAAATGTGCCACCTTCCCAAAAGAGCGGTGGCGGGGCTCCTGCCAACTCCCTGCCCCTGGGGGCCTCTGCCCCTTCTCAGGAAGTAGCCACAGAATCCACATCCCTCCCACCTGCTTCACTCCCTCCCACGGCTAGCGAGGGATACACCCTGGTGTGCCCAGTACTTTGTAGCCCTTCCTGATGCCCAAGCCCTGAGCAGGGCAGGACAGGACATAAATGGATCTCTGCCCTCTCTCATCCCCTTGGTGAGCAGTGATGGCGGCTGGGTGAGGGGGCACGGACTTCCAGGCTGGTGAGAATGGGTCCTGATTTGCAAGGTACACACACACACACACACACACTGAGGTAGAAAGCACAAGAAAAGAACAGGATTTTGATGTCTGTGTAAGCCTGTTTGTGGTGGGTGCAGACCCTTTGTGACATATTGTCATGCTGAGGTACCCAAATCTGCTGTGCTCACATCTTCCAGAAAAGCGTCCCAAGCCGGGGGGTGGGGGGTGGAGCCGCTTTGCACTATCATTTGCTTGGTGTGTTTGTGTCTCGTGCACAATCTGCTTGTACAGTAAACTGTCTGTCTTCTGTACTATTTAACTGTAAAATGGAATTTTGACTGGTTTGTGAGTAATATAACAGATGTGTTGAATGATCTCCCAGACTCGGGCTGTGCGTGGGGCCAGTGGGTGGGAGCCCTCCTGCCCTTGTGCAGGCAAGAAAAGGGGGCAGGGCCGAGCTGCAGCTGGGGAGACCCCACTTGGCCTGCTTTCATCCAGCTGTCAGGAATGCCCCTGTCACCTCCCGGCCCAAAGACAGCAGACAAGTCCTGGCTCACCCAGGCCCAGGGAAGAGCATTATACCCAGCTTGCTCCCAGGCCTGGGGAGGGCCCCGCCAGGGTTGGTGTGCATGAACACTGGAACGAGCTGGCAACCGTGAGAGCCCCAGAGCAGGCAGCCACTAGGCACCCCTGCTTTACAGGTGAGGGGACAGGCACAGCACTGGGGGCCTGGGCTCCACATTTCCTTGGAGTACTGTGACAGATGGGACCACAGCAGGGTGATAGTGTGGGGACCTGGCCTGATAAACCCCTTCTCACCCCAGCAGGGAACCCCACACACACACCCACACCCACGTGTGGACCTGGGCCTGGGCATCGGGATGTGTAAGGGGAATTTTTGTAACGTAGACTGTGTTTGAGTGACATGTACTGAGAACCTAGTCCCAGGCTCAGCCCTGTTCAGCCTAACCCAGATCCTAGCAGGAAGTTCCCAGCCAACACCCTGACCATCCCCACCCAGCCTGGACTCCTGGACTCGGCCCCCAGGGTGGCAAGTTCCTGAGGAGTGGGGTCCTCCAGAGCCCCCCACACACACCGCATCTCCCCCACAGGCGTGTCCTCCGCTGAGTGAGCAGAGCTGATCACTCTGCTTCTGTTCCTGTTTACTTTGGGTCACTTTGTAGGGAATGATGGTCCCTCCCACGGCTGGTGGGCGAGAGCTGTGGCCTCCACAGCCTCTGACTTAAGCCTGCATCACCTGTACCCCACTGGACAAGGAGAAACTTGGACTCCCTAAGTTCCAGGCTTGGCAGAGATGTTGCACTGAGAGGAAGTGGCCTGCAGATGGCAGCAGGGGCAGGCTTCAGCCAGCGGCAGGTGGAGGGAGGGGCCTCCTCTCGATCTGGACCCCTGCCTTGTCCCTGACTGCATCTCCATAAACAGCCCCCTGGAGCCCCCAGTTTGGCCCTGGGTTCAACTCTCAACTGCACCAAACATCCCACTAGGCCACGCCTGGAATGAGGAACACACTTCAGGGGTCATCCACTTTGGAGCCCTACCTGGAATGAGCCATTAAATGGGGTAGGTGGCCCTGGGGAAGCTCTGAGGCCTTGGAGAGCCAGATGAGGGCCGCATCCCCCTTCCCCAGCTGCACCCGTGCTCCAAGCTGGGAAAGCCAGGAGACCCAGATTCCATGTTTCCTATTTTGAGTTTGGCAGCTAAGTGCACACAATTTATGTATTTATATCCATCATGGGGAGCCTGTCTGTACCCAGGCTAGAGGAACCCTGTAAGTAAACGGTGGGCAGGTACCAGCTGCTTTGTGCGGCCACCTCCCTGATGGCACCCTAAATGCTTGGAAGCTCGCAGCAGACTCTTCTGTATCCTAAGGATGCTGGGGCGCTGGGCCAGTGTCTTCCAGACGGCAGCCAGACCTCATTCAGTCCCTCACCAGCCACAACCCCAGGTGCTGACACCAGGAAGGGCAGGATGAAAGTCTCAGCCGCCCCCCCAGGCACCCAGGGCTCGCAGGCAGGCGTGAAGGCCAGTTAGGAGTGGGGTGGGGTGAGGCCAGCCTAGGAGACCCTAGCGGAGCGCCCTCCCCTTAGCAGGTGGGGAGGGAAGCAGAAACCCACTGGGCCTTCAAAGCAGAGAGGGTCAGTGCGCAGAGGCTGCAGAGCACGGTGGGGATGGAGAGAACAAGGGCCCAGTGAGTGAGGCGTGCGCTGCAGGGGTGTTCTCAAGCCATGGGAGGAGGAGCTGACAGTCTGACAGACAGCTCAGCACCAAAGTCACAGCAAGGACACCACTGGTGCTGCAACACTGAGGTTCAGCATTTCTCACCTGCACAGAGCTAGTAGCATTTCACAGAGTCGCTGGGGACAGGGTCTTAGTCACAGCCTTTGTTGTTATGAAGTTAGTCCAAGCCTGACCCCCACTCCACAAGTCTTTAGCAAAACCGTATGCCGTGCCTCAGTTTCCCCATGATAGCACTCTGACCACATAGGTGGTCACAAGCACCCTAGAGAAGCCCAAGGCTTACAACTGGGCCAGCTGCACACTGTCCCCTGGGGTCTAAAGCTGTAGAGGTTGTGAGTCTAAGCGTTCTGTGTTCTATGTATTGCATTTTATTTCTTTATTTTTATTTATCTATTTTTGTCTTTGTGAGACAGGATTTCATTAAGCAGTTCAGGCTGGCCTTAAAATCCTCTCTGTAGCCCAGGCAGGCCTCAAACTCTCAGCAATCCTCCTGCCTCAGCCTCCCGAGTGCTAGGATTACAGGCGTGCGCCACCATGACCAGATATATTACATTTTAATAACATTTTAACACTAGATAAGGCATAGTCATAAAAGAAATAATAGATGATACAAAATCTCCAGAAGAATACACAATTACTGATAATCCTAGCCCACCAAAGACAACCAATCACTGTCAATAGTTTGGGTTTTCCCCTATATTCAAAACTTTCCTTTTTATAAATCTATAAACACTTTTTAGGAATAAACATTTTTCTAGCCAGATTCATATTGTATTTAGTTTATTAATTAACATAATTTAAAGACTTTAAAGCCTAGAATGAAACCACTGGAAAAATGGCATTGTAGCTGTTTTCTATTTGCTTTTCTTCTGTCTTTCTGTAATTTCCAAGTTTTCTAACCAAACACATCTGTCAGGAGTACAACAAACTTAGCTTCTAGACATTTTTTCTTATCTGTTTATTCATTCATTGAGACATGGTCTCACTACGTGTAAAAGAGGCCAACCTCAAACACTTGACCTCCTGCCTCACCTTCCCAAGGACCTGGGATCACAACGGTGTGCCGCAGTGCCCGGCAATTCCTAGGCTGATAAATATCCTAGCAGATTTTGATGGTGTATACCTGTAGTCCTAGCACTTGGGAGGCTGAGGCAGGAGGTTCACTTGAGCCTCAGAGTCTGAGACCAGACTTAGCAGAGCGGCCAGACCCCTTCTCAAAAACAAAAACAGGCAGCAGAGTTCAAGATCATGCTGGCACCAATACATCTGTCATTCACGGAAGTGTCGCCTCCTCCAGGTGGCCTGTGTGGTACTCACCCACATGCTGGGCCCTTTCTTTTTTTTTTTTTGTCTTTTTCATTTTTACCGGTACCAGGGATTGAACTCACGACCGCCTACTTGCAAGGCAGGTGCTTATGCCGCTGAGCTAAATCCCCAGCCCCTGCTTTACCTTTCTCTTTGTAATGATAGCAGCTAAGGCTTAGGATGCCAGGAACTGTTTTATCTCACCCTGCATTGCTCAGCCATGATCAGCCCATGATCTCCATTTCACAAATGAGGAAACTGAGGAGCCAGGACAGAACTGCACCCTCATCCCAATAAAGGCAGAGCAATAGCCAGAAAGGTTGAGTTTCAATTTCCTACCCACTAGCAGGTGTGGTGGTGCACACCAGTAATACCAGCAGTGCTCGGGTGGGAGGCTGAGGCAGGAGATCACTGTGTGTCTGAGGCCAGCCTGGCCACACAGCAAGGCCGTGTCTCAAAATTAATTAATTTCCCACCAGCCGCAGGAACTGGAAGCAGGTTGGAGTGAAGCTCAGTAGTAGAGCACGTGCTAGGCAGATGGGGGACAATGGCTTCCATCCACAGCCCCCCAAAATAAGTAAGTAAATAAAGATATTGGAAGCTCAAAGTGAGACTAAATTTGGCTTTAGAGGGAACGGTGACATTTCTCACATTCCTGTGTTTGTGACTCATGACATCAAGGGAGAAAAAGAAAGAAATGAGGAAATGTCTTTTCTTTTCTTTTTATTTAAAGCAGGTATCAAACTCATGACCTCACGCTTGCCAGGCAGGCCCTGTGCTACCGAGCTACAGTCCCAGCCCAGAATATCTTTGCTCAAAACCAGAAGCAAAAGACAGAAATGGGGGCGTGGCCCAGTGGTGGGGCAGGAGGCCTGGACTTCACCTCCAGCTTTGCAAACAAAAACATTTTTTTGAAGCAAAAACACCCATTTATGGTCCTTCTGGTGCTGAGAGGCATCTGCCTACCTTTCTGAGTCTTGATTCTAGGATTTCACACAGCAGGAAACGGGTCACTATCTGTGTATCCCTGAGTGACCCCCTGGGCCTGTCCCACCCCAGGGGTGCATGGAGAAGAGACCTCCCTGAGAGTCCTGGGTGCTTCCCAGCACTCCTGGGAATATCTGCTGAGGCCCAGCCTTTCCAACCTCAAACTGGTTCTATTTTCTTTCCCATGAAAATAACTCAGTCCTACATCACTGACGCCTGAAATTAGAAAAATACGAGGGCTGTATTATCATAAAATGAGTTTAACACAGCGGGGCCCTCTGGGTGGCTCTGCAGCCACCCCTCCCAGTCACGGCCCCTGGAAATGCTCAGAGGGACAAGAAATTTGGTTTTCATTAACGGCAAATGTGAGGAGTTCTGTGGCTCTGAATGGACCTTTGATTCTGGCTGGCGGTGGCCTCTTTCCAGGGCCCGGTGAGTTTTGTTTTGTTTTGTTTTTTTCATGTAAAATGGGCCAGGCCCTTCCAGCTTATATCTCCCTGGACTACAGGGGAACTGGGTAACACCCCAACCTCCTGATTTCTAAAGTCAACAGCTGGGCCCGGCAGGAGAGGCCACCAAGACCATTCCCCTTTATTGATGCTGGGGCTTTTATTAAAAATGCTGTTTCCCTGAGATCTGAGTCAGACCCAACAAGAAGGCCAGCTAGTGAGGGGCCTGGAGGACCTTCCCTACCCAGAGGACAGACCCCTTGACCTGCCTTCTCCCAGCCCAGTGACGCCCAGGAATGGCCTATTGTCTGGATTCTCCAAGGCAAATCTCATTTCTTCCCTCCTCTGTCTGCTCCAAGTGGAAGAACATTAATCT